CAATCACTAGACGCACTCGCGTTCTAAAGTCCCTCCAGTATCATCAGTATCTAAAAAGTTAGTAAAAAGTAAGTTAGTATCTAAAAAGTTAGTAAGTAAGTTAATGTCCAGGTACCGGCAATGAGCGAGGTCTACAAGTCTGCACGTTGTGCGCATGCTCATTGTCGGCTGTCTGTCAGATCTAACGCGCGGTCGCTTCACTCTCGTATGTGCGCGATTCAGATTGCTTATTTGCTTTTGTTTTTTTTCTGTCTCGGAGTTTATCGTTACCAAGATTATGTCATTTCCCAGGCTTCCCCGGGGGTTGGCTTATTTGTTTTCGTAGACACGCTAAAGTAGGGGCGTTTTAACGCTACTAGTGTTACATAACACACAGAGACAAGCGAGCAAAATATGCTCATGTAAGGGCGTTTTTACTAGTGTTGCATAATATCAAGAGCGTATAAAGAAGGCTTCTCTCTGTACGCTCTTGATAATCGTGAGCGTATCTAAAAAATAACCAGAGACGAGCGTGCATGTGTACGCGTTTCCACACGATCAAAACCCATCCCAAAATAAATCGGATTTTTTTATATTAAAACCAAGGAACACGTGTAAACGATAACTCTTCTCTGGCGTCTATATCTGTGTCAGTTTCCCAGGCAACCAACCATTCCCTACGCGATAACCGCCTGCATATGATTTCAATTTGAAAACAGGAATTTTTACAGTTTTACTCAACCCTCGTTATAGGTGCATGCCTCTGACTGGTTAGACCTACAGATAATCTATATAATGTAGCGACCAATATACACTCCGGTTATACACTCAAGTTATACACTCAGGTTATACTATCAATGGGACGGACATTCATTGCATTATGGCTCGCGCTATATGCATTCGTCAACACCCTTAGATAAACATCAGCGCACCTCTTATTTATGTGACGGGTCAATACTGCATATGCCGTCGAAGGCATTAGGAACCATCGAGAACATGGGTAGACTAAACTATTCAGTACTAAACATATTCAGGATATTGAAGGCCGCGACCTCGGAGAGGGACGGTAACGCCCGCCGTTGGCGACTCTCTCATAGAGATAGAGATGATGACGTATATGCGCGCGACATAAGAGCGGGAAGAAGGGAATAAATGGCGCGCATCGTGGGCACTCTCCTTTGCTCTCTTGTTCACACTAATGCTTCGGTGTGATCTGTTCTGCCTGTCACCGGTTTACAGTTACAATAAAGATACGTCGTGTCCCTTATCTCTTGCTTTTGACTATCTGTTCCTATAGTTAATCTCCTATCTTTTCCCTCTCATACTTGTATAGCGTCACGTTATACGCTACTACTACGCTAAGTTTATATTGTGAATTAGAAAGAAAAGTACTTTTAAGAAACACAAAACTTTAACTTTGTTTCTGCTGGTATTATGTACATTCACGCGTGCACTCTGTATCATAGAGTACATTTATGGTGCGCTATGGCATTGAGGATTTTGCAATAAATTGTGAACTTTATGTCGTTATAGGAAGCGAGTTTCCTGTTTCCGGTTTGTTCTCTCTCGCTCTCTCTCTCTCTCTCTCTCAATCTGTATCACGTAAGCACGCACGCACACACACACACACACACACACACACACACACACACACACACACACACACACACACACACACCGGCAGCACCACGACAGCCTGAGGGCAACCTATACAACACACACACACACACACACATATCACACACACCACACACACACACACGACACACACACACACATCAGCACACACACCACAACACACACACCACACACAACATACACACACACACACAGCACACACACACACACACACACACACACACACACAACACACAACGCGGCGCACCCCTCCCCTCACACAGACACACACATATACAACCACACACACACACACACACGCACACGACAGACACCACACACACACACACACAGCACACACACATACACACACACACAATTCCATACACAGCACACACCACACACACACACACACACACACACACAACACACACACACACACAACACACATACAACACACACACACAACACACCACACACACACACACACACACACACACAGTAACATTAAACACACATACACACACAACACACACACACACACCACACACAGCACGCACGCACGCAACACACACACACACACACAACACACACAACACACACACACAGCCTGTAGGTAGGCCGGCAGCAAGCACGCAGCAGCCAGCAGCAGCAAGCGAGCAGCAGCAGGCCGGTAGTAGGGAGACACACACTGTGACACACACACAGACGCGCGTGTTCACAGTGGCTGCATGCATATTCCCTGTAACATCTCTCTCGCTCCCTAGCAGTTCTAGTAGATCCAGCCTGCGATCCAGTGTGTGAGCGGACATGGAGTAGCACAGCAGCGAAACGCCGCACAAAGGTTAGTACTGTGTGCAATAAAGATGCGTGGACGATGACGATGACGATGACGACGATGGCGATGACTACAGCGAGGACGATGACGATGACGATGACTACAGTGAGAACGATGATGACGACGCGACTACGACAACGACGATAACTACGACTACGACTACGATAATGATGAAGGTGTTGATGATGATGATGATGGTGATGACGATGACGATGATGATGACGATGACGATGACGATGACGATAACACTGACGATGACGACTTCCAAGAGGATGTACCTGTCATCAATACTTGTAACTGCACGTAGATCATAACTATCGATGACTAACATTTAGCCACGTGTGTGTGTTGTGTGTGTGTTGTGAGTGTGTGTGTGGGTGTGATTGGTGTGTGCGTGCGTGTGCGTGTGCGTGTGGCGTGTGGTGTAGTGTGTGTGTGTTTGTGTCTGTGTGTGGGTGTTGTGTGTGTGTGTGTGTGTGTGTGTGTGTGTGTGTGTGTGTGTTGTCGCGTGTGTGTGTGTGTGTGTGTGTGCCTTGGTGGTGTGCTGCGTGTACGCGTGCATGCGTGCGTGTGTTGTATGTGCGTGCGTGCATGCGTGCGCTGTCTGCGTGTCGCGTGCGCGCGCGTGTGTGCATTGCGTGCGTGCAATGCGTGTCGTGTCTGCGTGCATGCGATGCGTTGGTGGCGTGCGTGCGTGCGCGTGTGTGCATATTTAATCGTAACAGGCGTGCGTAGTGAATATCCAGCTATAGCTACTAACAAGTATAAACGCGCATGCGTAACTAATATAACCTCTATCAAGAGCGTATATATTAATCTCTCTCTCCTGTCCTTATATACGCTCTTGACCAGTGCGTCCCAACTATTTGACTCCCGCCACCCTATAATGTTTTACGCTTTCTTGTACCCTTCGCCCCACCAATAAGAAAATGAAGAAACCAACACTGGATGTATTCGTCATGTAATGTTTGACATGCATGTTTACGTTTTATTAATGCAGTCGCAGCGGCGAATTTTTCCAATCAGCCGTGTCATAGAATGCCTGAATCACCCGCTGATTATTATATAGCCCTAACTTTTTCTTAAAATTGTCTAAGAGGCTCCAGCGTTACGCCCCTGTGGTGTCGCCTGGTACCCATGGGGTACTAGTATCCCCGGTTAGGAACTAGGGCTCTTCACTCTATGTGTCGCTCGTGTTTTGGCTGTAGAGTGCACACGAAGATGTGCGTCTGGAAATAATATCAGTTATCTCTGTGACGTCAATCGGAATGTTCGAACGCTGTTGATTTCAGACAGGAGGGATAGAGACGACAGAAAGACATATAGAGAGTGAGAGGGAAGAAGAGAGACATACATACGAGGAGAGAGGAGAGATACAGAGAGAGAGAGAGAGAGAGAGAGAGAGAGAGAGAGCAGAGAGAAAAGAAAGTGATAAACAGAGAGAGAGAGGAGAGAGAGTAGAGATAGAAAGACGAGAGAACTGAGGAGAGAAGAGAAAGAGCGAGAGGGAGAGAGGTGAGAGAGGGAGAGAGAGTGAGAGAGAGAGGGAGGGGGTCTATGTGGGCTGGGGGG